TTTTTTTTTTTTCATTCTTGAAACTGGGGTTTTAGTTCTCATTTAACTAGCCAACCATACTTAGCATAGAAAGCAAGTTCCTTTTTCTTTCTTTTTCTTATTGGGTTTAGTAGTGCAAACCACAGGACGTAGCCCTGCACCAAAAGCTGATCAAACAGAAGCATAGAAAGCGAGCCTTTTTTTGTGCTTTAAAGAAAAAAATATTTTTTGGGTTTTAAACATAAGAAATGGTGCACTATCAGCGTTATAATCAGTTGAAAAAGGGTGGAGATGAAGAGGCAGGAACCCTTGTTTTTGTTTGGACAAACCCTGGTTACTACAGGAGAAGAAGGCCTAAACTTTTCTCTATCCTCTTGCTTTCTCTTCTCTCCTGTAGTTTCATATTGGCCCCTTACTTCTTCAGCTCTTCTTCTGCTTTATCTCGCCTCTGTAAGCTCTCCTCGTTCCTGAGTTTTGCTTATTTTCCTCTGTTTTTCTCTCTGTTTCTGCGTATTGATTTCTCTTATATGGTTTTTGCAGATTCATTTGGTGTACAAAATGAAGGCCTTGATGGTGATATGACTGTAAAAGCTCCTCTTTGTTCTTCAATCTCTAATGGCAAGTACTTTTTCTTTTTTTTTGGTTTTCTGGACATGCTTTTTTGTATCTTATCTTGGAATAATCGAACAGTAGCTTGCATATCAGGAAATTGGTTGCCTTTAATTGAATTCTTTTTTTTTAATCTTTTTAATATTAAAGTTTTGCCTTGCTTGAAATTCAAGATTGAACTATAGGAGTGTATCGCATCAACTGATTCATTTTTTGAAGAAATCTATACTTAACGGATGAAAATTTGATTTTCAATGTCCCCAATTGTTTATATGAATCTTATGGTTCTTTCGGGCTAAATACAGGTACAATTTGCTGTGACAGAAGCCATTTTCGGTCTGATATTTGTTTTATGAAGGGTGATGTAAGAACACACTCTCCCTCCTCTTCAGTATTCCTTTATTCGTCAAAAAACAGCGATGGTTTCATTAATTATGTTTCAAGTATTGTTGATGATGAAGAAGAAGAGGAAGATGATGAACTTCAACGTGAAAAGATCAAACCTTACACCAGAAAATGGGAAACGAGTATAATGGATACCATTGGAGAATTGGACCTTATCTCAAAGAGAGGAAATTTGGCTGCTCACCATACTTGTGATGTGGTTCATAATGTTCCAGCAGTTTTCTTCTCAACTGGAGGCTATACTGGCAACGTTTATCATGAGTTTAATGATGGGATTGTGCCTTTGTACATCACTTCTCAGCATTTTAACAAGAGGGTTGTGTTTGTGATTCTTGAATATCATAATTGGTGGGTTATGAAGTATGGTGACATCCTTTCTCATCTTTCGAAGTATCCCACAATAGACTTTAGTGGAGACAATACAACTCATTGCTTCACTGAGGCAATTGTTGGTCTGAGGATCCATGATGAGCTCACTGTGGACTCTTCGTTGATGAATGGCAACAAGAGCATTGTTGATTTTCGAAATCTTCTTGATAGAGCTTACTGGCCTAGAATTAGAGGTCTGATTCAGGATGAGGAACGAGAAGCACAAGAGAAGAAAATCTCTTTACGCCCGACATCAGGGTCCGCATCAGAAACTGGAAAAAAGGTGCAACATCAATCATGGAGACCAAAGTTGGTCATCTTGTCTCGAGATGGTTCTAGAGCAATAACTAACGAGAACATGTTGGTGAAAACAGCAGAGGAAATTGGGTTTCAGGTTCAAGTTCTGAGGCCTGAACGAACAACAGAATTAGCAAAGATTTATCGGGTACTGAATTCAAGTGATGTGATGATAGGTGTCCACGGTGCTGCCATGACCCATTTTCTTTTCATGAAACCTGGCTCCGTTTTCATTCAAGTTATTCCCTTGGGAACAGACTGGGCAGCTGAGACATACTATGGGGAGCCCGCAAGGAAGCTTCATTTGAAGTACATTGGCTACAAAATCAAGCCTAGGGAGAGCTCATTGTTTGATGAATATGACAAAGATGATCCTGTGCTTACAAATCCATCGAGTTTGACTAAAAAGGGATGGCAATACACTAAGAAGATCTATCTTGAGGGCCAAACTGTGACATTAGACGTCATAAGATTTAGAAGGCGGTTGGTTCGTGCTTATGACTACATCACTGGAATGCATCTGCGGTCTCGTCTCCAGTCACACTAATTTTCATTAATGGAACATAATCGAACCTGTTATGATCACTTATTCTTCACACTTGATTTATTATTTGATTTACTTGATTGTTGTATATTGGCAAGCGCAATATCATAATTTGTAAACCTTTGTTTGTAGAGATTACTCTTCTTATACATATCTGTTTTGTACAGTTAGCGGCAAAAAGAAAAAGAAAAAATGAATTTCATTTTGTTAAATGCTAATCGGACATTCATTCTGTAAACCTTTTGTTCTTCGTATTGGATGCAGCTCGCAGTTTCCATGTATCAAAATTCTGGTTTGTTGTGTGTTGGAGCAGCTATTTCTATGTTGCACTAAAACAGTAATTCGTTTCTGATTCGCTACATGGAATGTATTAGCTCTCCATATATTGCTGATACTTGTATAGATTCCATCCATTAGATGAAACTTGGAAATAATGTTCACTTCTGGTGCTGCCAATTGGCATTGCAAGATTATGCTTAGTCTGATATTAGGCCTGAGGCAGGTAGCATTTGTGGCACTGCAAATTTCTTGAACTACTGCATGTGGTTTGCTTGCATTGCGTTTCCTGGTCCTGAAGGCACGTGGTTTGCCTTGCATCAGTTTTGTCCAAAGACCTGAAAGTCTGAGAACTATAAGGTTACCCTAACATGAACTTAAGGCCAGATGAGATTCATCTCTCTCCCTTCTGTTTTTATCTATACATTTTCTCTCACCAATTACTTTTATCTATTTTCCGATCTCATGGGAAACTCAAAATGGTCCTACTCTTGATATGGTCCCTATGAAGAGATTTGTCTCATTTCTCATGTCAAGATTTGCACCGAAAACCTTATTGTATCAAATCTCAAAAGTTCCGGGAATTATGGAAAAGGCAAAGACAACTTTATGACGGGTTCTACAGCTCTGCTATTCAGAAAATCAAAAGGGTATTACTTTCAAAATGACCATTTTGACTGGCCTAGTGCCCTTTTTGGTATTCTTGAATTCTTCTCTAAGGCTCTAAACCCAATAAAAGAAAGAAAATGATTCAACCTGATTTTTCAATGAAAATAGAACCCAGAATGTGAATCAAAAGATGTAGATAGGAGGATTTCAATTTTGTACTTTCAGTAAACTGCTGCTGGGTAATTTCAACCAGTTGAGGCAAAAGGATAGTGGTTTAAAATTTTGTTTTGGATTTGTGGTTGCTAGATCCATTCTTACAAGTGTGGTGGGGCAGAGAATTGGATTGAAAGCAATAAGCAAACTTATAGCCTGACTGCGGAAAGTCAACAGCAACTGCTAGCCACCTTAATGATTGATCCAGCAAGAAAAATTTGACATCTTTGGAAGGGCCTAAAGTGATTACATGATTAGAGATTGCCTCATCTAGCAGACAAAACTGGGTTTGCAACAATGATCAAATATGTCAGAGCTGACATTCTACAATCAGCCTATCTGCCTCAACTGACTCCTTATTTCCCATGTACACAAACTAGAGGGTTAGCTCACTCTAACTGCCAATTTGCTCTGGCTTCTTGAGGTGTTCTAAAAATGTCATTGACTCAGTATGCTTCGAGTCAAAGCATAACCGGAGCCTTTCATTCACCATTAGATTTTGATTACAACCACCGCTTTGTTGTCTTTGTTGATGGGTGAACAGGAGGCGGTGTCTTGGCATTCCTGTTACTGCTCGGAGTTGTGCCTACATAAGTATAAATCAAAGAAACTTGGATCATGCACACAAAAAGTATGTGCCAAAATAAATCTAATAATCAAAAATAGAGAACACAAAATCAGGCAAGAATGATGCAACTTGGTTCTACTTACTTGAGTCAGTTGGCTTCCCTCCAAGAGAAGATCTACGGGACCTGTCTGACCCTGATGTTTGGATGCCGGTAAGTGATTGCCTACGCATTGCTCTTGCATTAGCAGTGAGTGGTGACTTAACATCACCGATAGTGCTCTCCTCCATGATAGGTGACTTGAGTTCCACCGAGTTCTGCAGGTTCCTGTAATTTTGTGCAGAGATCTTCAGATTGGAGCACATTCAAGTCTTACTGTTTGCTTATAATTTAGCAGCATCATCAAATCATGCTCTGTTAAATTAAGGTTTCATGCCTTGACATAACTGTCATACAATATTATGCACTTCCAATATGATGGCTTTAAAAAAACAAACAGTCCTGATATGCCAGCATTCCTCATTATGATCAATGTTTCAGTGTGTCATGTTCCAGCTATATGAGACAGCAATTATCGATATTAAGTTAAATAAAAGCTAATAAGAACTGAGCTTCACCTACCTTTTCTCAGAGCCACTAATCAGTTTCCCAATGGTTGTTCGTAGGGATTTTCTTATTTGAGATCCTTTCCCAATGGTCATCCGAGATTCAGAATGTTCACTTTGCATAGCAGCCTGAATGTCATTTCTGGCAGGTACTTGTGGTTCAGGTGTCTTTGGTAGCTGAAGTCTAGGTATTTGAGTTCGACAATCTACCTTCAGTGCTTGCTTTTGAAAGGAAGAACTAGCAGGACTTCGAGGAGCTTTAGAAAAATAAACATCCATTATGGAGCTACCACTGCTGAGATCCCCAAACTGTTTTGTAACTGCTTCTGCATCTTGGAACTGACTATATTTCTGTACAGAAACTGTGCTGGCATGTAAGGACTTACTAACATCTTCAGATACATTTATCTGACCGTTGTCTTTCTTACCATATCTTGGACCTTCCAAGCTCAACCTCCTTGCCCGGGTTGGAACTGACGGGGTTGTTGGTCCTTTCCTGTCTTCACAGTTCATTGCCTTCTCAGACTTCTTAGTGCTACCATTCTCAATGCCCAACCTTCGAGTACGCGGGGGAGTTTTCTCGATTGTTGGTTTTTGTTTCTCAAATGGAGATTTTGGTTCCTTTATTTTATGGGACAGTGTACTTTGTGCTTCCTTGTTTGCCAATGCCTTCTTGAGGTTTTCAATCTACAAAAATTTGTTCAATATTTACAAAGAGTCAATACTATGTCGAAATGAAAAGGAAATAAAAGGCTCAACCCATTGATAATATCAGCCATTTCTCATTCTTAAGATTTTCATTAAACTAAAGTGTCTTTACTCTCTGATCATAACCACTCAATCAGAACTATTTCCGAGCAATGGATGGGCAATCATAAAGAAAACTGGAAAATTTTGTCAAATCACACAATGATTTCTAAAAATAAAAGCATTCTTAACGAGCATAGGTTGCATTCAAAACTTTGCATCAGACAATGTAGTCAAGAAAACTGGATGACCAACCTAGCATCTTAATCATTTAAACTGCAAAAGTTTGCATGACGGCTACTAAAGGAAACAATGAAAATAATCATTGATGCACATATGAGATGAGAAAGAAAATCATAAAAAGCAAGGTTAAAATGGATATGTTTACCTGTTCTTTGAGTTGCATAACCTCACTGCTCTCTTTATTCAAACGAGCAGCACCAAGTTCCACTGTTGAAACTCTCTGAGCGAACTTCAAAGTACTTACTGTTTCTCCAAAAGAGTCTCCTTCAGGACTCACATGAGCAAACATCAATGTCTTAGCATGTCCACCTAGACATTTCCAGAGAAGTATCAGTATAAAATTCCTAAAATTTGTTTGCAGGGAAATAATAACTTTCACTCTAGAAGAAAGCTTCTCAAGTTTGTTACATCTCCAATCACATTAAGCGAGATAGACATTATCATAACATGTTTCCTACTTTTGGGTAAACATAAGAACCTCAGTACTAATTAATACAACAAAAGAACGGTCTGTGCATTACTAAAACAATTAAACTAGTGATTTTGGGAAAAGGATGTGTATATTACAACCTAATGAGTCCTGCAAAAGAAGTGTGAGTTTGCTATTTCTGTAAGGGATGTGAGAATTCTTCTGAGCCAAAGCTGTAATGACATCTCCTAGGCAAGAAAGAGACTTATTAATATATTGGGCCTCTTTTAGCCTATCTCCTATAACTTCTGATTTGTCCACCCTTTCACTTCCTGCCAGGTCCACCAAATGCAAGCAACTACGGAGCATGTTTCCAGATGCATCTTTACCATGCACATGTACTGTTAGAATACTGCAAAGTTAAATCAGTCTGTTAACATCTGAAAACAACTTGAACAACCTTTTAATCCTACTTGTGCTTGTTCTATTAAATGGAAGCCAATCTTCTTCACTATAATGTAGAAAATGTAAGGTAAACTGACCTGTGGGAGCGACTACTTCGATTATTGAGTGCAGTGGAGCAGACAACGCGATTCACCTCTCCGAATTTCATTAGATTAAGCACATCACTAGTGGACTTCACTGTATGCATTGTAGCATCTGGAAGGCTTAACCCATTATCACGAGTGCAGCTATGAATCTCTAATTTGCGCACATTAAGGTTACAAAAGTTTTTACATGAAGAGAAGATCTGCTAACATTGAATAAGGCAAATATGAAAATCAATAAGAAAGGATATTTGGTGGATGATGAATTCTCTGACAGAAGGTCTCTGATTTGTTCATTATATATCTCGACCATCTGAACTTGAATCTCATAACTTATAATATCCTTCCTTTGATTAGAAATTTCAAAGAGATTGTTGAGAGCTAGATAATTAATCCCCAAATCCTCAGTTGATCCACCAGATGGACCACTCTGTCAACATAGAGATTTGTCAGGTTAAAGCAAAGTATGCATAATATGTAACTACCTTTTATCTTGTGCCACAAGTAAACAGATAAAAGATGAAAAACAAAAATTTCCATTTTGTATGGCAATTCACTACCAAATCATAGAATGTATCAGATGAAAAATTGATTATATTAAAACTGAACCAAAATGTGCTACCAAGTCTAAATCAGATAAAGGACCTATTATATTTTGCCAGTTTTTGATGCAAATCAAAGGTCTTACCATAGTATACGTTTTGCCTGATCCAGTTTGGCCATATGCAAAGATGCAAACATTATACCCATCCATAACAGATCGAATCAAAGGTTGAGTGTCCTTAAACACATCATCTGGAATAAGAGCCATATGCGTGAAGAAATCAAATCTATATACAAGATAGCATAGCAAATTAACAGTAGACTGATAATTTTGTTATAATTTACCTTGAGTTGCACTTGGACCAAACACACGATTAAACTGAAAGAGTTTTCTTCCATCCTTTTGGGGTTTCAATGGGTCCAAAATCACAAGTGAACCATCCTCTCCAATAAAATCTATCGCATTTTGTGCGCCAGCACAGAAAGCAGGTCTAATTCTGCAGAAAACTCGAATATTTCCTGAAGGAAAACTTTATCAGAACAGGATTCAGAGATTCCAAATTAAAATAAAACTAAGACGCAAAGAATAATCCACTATTTTTTACCTTTTAAATCCTGAACCATATTATACAACTTCCTGTTCTCTTCCACCACCTTGTAATACTGAAGGGCAGCTGTGGACATCTCTTCTACTTGACTTCCTGAGCCCATGCAAAAGAACAGACACGTTTAACTCTATATAGAAATTTACGAATAAAATCTTGAAAGATAAAGCTAATGTGCATATACAGATGGAAACTTAGATGCTTTTATCTTATAAGCTCCATAAATAGAAAGACAAATTCCTGCCAGTATGACAAAAAGTGGGAAGTATAATTCATGATACAATTATGTTTTGTAGACAATGCATCAAAGTGACAGCGCTTATTTCCTTTTGGGAGTTCAAAAGCATTTAGCTAAACTCATAACAAGAAAGCTTTTGGAACCCATAAGATCTTGGAAGGAATTCAAAAAAAGAATGTATTTGAAGTAATAAAAGTTCAGAGAAAATCTAAACAACAAAGGTACGCAATTTAGGTACATGATGATTGTTTAGTAAATGCGTACCTAGATCTTTCAAATCTACTTGCAATTGCAATTGTAAGTGTTCAAACTCTCTCTTTGTTGTTGACAACAAGGCCTTGAGGTCCTGAAAATAAACACTATGAATAAGAATAGGAACATTTCTTGTTATCGGCATGTTTAAAAGAACTAGCAGACACTTTCTTTCTTTCATTCATATTAAACATTTCTACTGTCCAAAATTCCTGTTCACTAACTGTACACTAATCTGAAGCCATTAGCTTAGTGAACATTCCAAAATTCATGTTTTCAGAATGCTTGGAATTTTTTGTGGAAACAAAACCAAGGGCAACCAGGCAAACTGATTCTGTAGCCATATTGAACTGAAGTTCACAAGGCCATTTTTCCTTTTAAGCTTTTTTTTTTTCTTTTTTTCAATTTTGTATACACTAATTACAGATCAAGAGAAGAAGTAAAGAAAACATGTTTCTGAGGACATTATCTTTCTATGTGATGCTCTATCACAACTTTTCAGCCAAAACGGAAAACTGATTCAGTATAGTTGGGCAATATATATCCCTGGTATACATCATTATTTTTATTAAATAAGATTTTAAGACAAGGACTTTCTGAACAAAACCAGTAGGTGCAACTTAATGCATCTCATAGATTACAATTCTCTAAACATAAAAATAAATCCTTGCACTTTTTATTTACTGGAATCTCCGATTAGTGGTAGAATGCAACCTTTTGACATAAATTTTTTGCAACTAGTAAATTGTTGGTGAAGCAAAAGAAATTCATACCAAAAGCTCTTTTTCCTGCATTTTTAATAAATTCCTGCGATTGCGATTAGCCTTTTTCATGCCAGCTCTGGAACCCTGTTAAAAATATGATGCAGGGCTCATCAGGTTTTGCTACAATAAACATTGGAATTAATGCCAACGTTGCACATAAGCAAATCTACTCATGAAAAGGTTGTGACACCAAACATGTGATGGAGAGCTAATTATCTACATGGTCAAATGAACATAACGATTACTCATTCACAACCATCAACAAAAATTTTAATGAATATTTTCACTTACAAGTTATTTCATTTTACAACCCAAATTGAATATAAAAGCTACACTATTACCATATTTTAAATAAAGGTTTAAAAAGTTTCTTTTTAAGTGGAAAAAATTGAATTTTTCTTGCTTAATATAGATAGCTAGGTTGGGGGTAATGTTATTAGAAACAATTATACACTCAACGACTGTAAATATTTTTCCAGCAGACTAGTATTAAAAATTTGTAAGCCTGGAAAATTTTAAAAAACTAAATATGTGGTGAGGATAAAAATAGTATACCTGAAAATGTCCAAATGAAGATACATCCTCTAGAGCCACAGGTGTGGAGTGGAGAGCTGATTTCAGCTGTTGGGGAACAGAAAGGACATATCTATAATTAGTTAAAGATTATTAAACATAAGAATGGGCAGATAAAAGAAAAATAGAGAAAGTTTGTTTAAAAGCTAATACATAAATCACAATCTTCTTAGGTAAGTACACAAGTGAGTCTATATATCCATGAGTTGGAGTTGAGCTCTCTAGGCAGTAAAACACATTTTAGGCCAGCCAAAGAAATAAAAGAAAAGGAATCAGCTGGTACAGTACAAATTTTTTTAAAAAATATCCACTTTCTAATGCTGCTCAGCTGCTTACTCTGAAATTTACTCCAGATAAAGCATTCTTCAGGGAGAAATATCTTTTAGAAGCATATAGAATTTGGAATTAGAGAAGATGAAATCTTTTTCTTGGCTGCCTTGAGCTCACCTCAGGGAATTTATCCTGGAGTTGCTCGTCCAAACAACTTGAAATCATCTTTTTCAATAATTTGACTGAATCCTGTAGCAGAAGAGACTTAAGTACAGAAAAAACAGAAATGTCTAGTTCTTTAGACATACATTTGATTTGTTGAATACGAATAAGGTTAATATACAAAAACAGTTAATATTACCGGATTTCTCTTATGGAAAGAACCCAAAAGGTTGCCATCAACATTTTCCTTTGTGTCAGCCATGTAGTCTGCAAGAACCTTGACAATTGTGCCTATGAACACCATACATAACATAGAGTGAGAACAAAAACTAAAATGCCAAGAAAAAATGTGAAAATCATTACGGATAATAAAAGTGATAAGGAATTTGATTAACATTCTCTCCAAAACAAATTTCCTCTGAAGAATACATACGTTCAGGTAAAAAGAAAGAAGGTAAGCAGCCAGTAGATAAATAAGCCTCCCTTTTATTATTATGTTAACCATAAAGACTGCAGACCAATTACCATTACACAATGGTTTCCTAAAGGGACCACACTAATTCGCAGTATTTGACTTCAGTAATTGCCAACAGCTTAAAAACCTAACCTTGCTATAAGAAGGCTTGAAAGTTTTTAAAATCCAAATGAAACCAGAATGCAACTTAAATTTGTGCTACTAATTTCTTGTCTAAATGCATAGTTCATAAGAAGAGATAGGGAAAGAAATACACAAGAAGAAAGACGAATCAAAACCTTCGAGCTTTTGGATTTCTCCATTGGAAGTTGGCTGCTCATCACAAATAGGAGACATGTCCAAGCGCCTACAAGATTCCGACGAGGACCGAGAGTGGATTTTAGTGGCAGAATGCATAACCATGGGGGACCTTGTAAGCTTATAATATCCATTCCCATTCCCACAATTAATCTGCTTATGTTCATGGTATGACTTCAGGGCTAATATGCAGTCAACAACCTTAGCTGCTGACCCTGCCTCCAAATTATCCTTCAAAAAAATTGAAGGCCAGTCAGTTTTAAATGATTATCACCTAAAGATGCAACCAAAAACTGCCACTACAATTATTCAACGTAGTATTGGGAATTTACCCTTTCGAGATCACAAGCTTCAAAGGCTGGAAGTTTTAGCTCTTCAATGGCGACAAGAAAATTCCTTACATTTTCAAAGTATTGATAGGCTGGTGGTGGCTGGAACTCCCGGGTGAGTGATTGTGCATGTGAGTGACTCTCCACAACCTCAAAAATTAATAGGAAAATGTGTAAATTTAATTAGATAAGAATGAGGCTCCGTAACTAACCCTGGAATCTAGATAGTAAATGTGATGGTACCTTGGGTACTGCACCTGGTTGGATCTTGTTAATGACATTGCAAAGAATCAAACCGTTTCTCAAGCAAGAAATGAACTCTTTCTCTGATGGCTGACTTGATATTCCCAGTGGACCAACTAAGGTTTCTAACCAAGCAACAGCCACGTATCTTCTCAAAGCTACAAAAATCAGTGAACGAAATGGTATTGTTAAAACAAATTCTTTGAAAAAACAAAACGAAAAGAAAGAAGAATCTTAAAGTCTTGAATAGTTGCACTTTATTTTGAAAAAGGAACTTTACTTGCAATGAAAAAAAAAATGGAAACTTTACTTTCTTGTTTCTTTTCCTTCCCTCCTTTGCTAACATAAAAAGAAAAGAGGAAAGAAAACCAACCTGCTTCTTCAGCTTTTCTAGAAGCCAAATTGAGGTCATGGAACCCAATTCTTGTGACGTACTCCATTTCAAACCTCCAAACCTTCTTCTTCTTCTTCCTCCTTTCAAATATCAAACAAACTTATCAGAAACAAAGTTTTTTTTTAATAAAAATAAATGTAAAAAAAAAAACCCAAGCTTTAAATCATATCATGACAAAGCAATAAACACCCATCACCCAACTCATCTCCCAATACATTAAAAAACTAAACTTCTTCCAAAAAAATTTGAAAAAAGAAACATACTTCGGTAATCTTTCTGGGTATATATCTTCCGTTGAAAAACAATAGAGAAAAAGACAAAAGCAAAGAGAACCCAGAACTGGAAAGGAGATAAGAGAAGGGAGAGGAAATGTTGCACTCGACAGTCAAAATAACAATCAAAATCAAAGGCTGCTTAATTCTCCTTTTTGTGGTCTCTCTCTCTCTCTCTCTTTCAGTATTTGCATTGATACTGCAATCTCCTCCCTGTTTTTTCTGTTTCTTCTAATGTTTTTTTTAATTCGGTGTTTCGTTCGGATCCGAAGCTTAGGTCTGCAATATCGTAACGTTAAACTTTTGAGGGATTTAATTTGAATTCAAATGGGTAGGTCCACGCGGGGGATGATCTCATCCGTTGGTTTTGCCACCTTTGGTCATTTGAATCGACGGATAGGATTTGTGGTTGAAGGGAAAGTTTCTTGAGTTTTGGGTTGGGCCTTTAAATTTGGGCTCTTTTATTTTTAATATGATTTTTCTTTTCAGAATGATTGCGGCGATTTAAACAGCGCGTGGAAGACACTTTCCTCATTAACCAACGTTCGTGGTTGGCACGAACGGCAAGTGCGAGGGAGATATAACATAAAACAAGAAATTAGGGATATTCTGAAAATTAACGTAATAGAATAAGTAACATGCAGCTTTTGAGATTTTCTATGGAAAATTGGTTGATTTATTTCCATGTTTGCTAGGTTTTTTTCATCTTTGAGACTCTAGTGACCGGGCAAATAGTTTAACCATTAACTTATTTTGGTTAATTATTGAGTTAATAAAATTAACATTTTAAATAGAGCTATAATTATGTAATCAATAATAAGGTATATAATGCACATGGAAATAGAATGGCTACGTTAAATTGGTCCTTTTTTTATTTTTCACTTTCAAGAGCAAAAAATTAAAAAAATGCATCTGGATACAAAAGCAAATAAATTTTTTGAATGATTATGCACAAAATATATAATACTTTTTATGAAAAAAAATACATGATTCTGCTTCTATGTAGACTAATGATGTCATATTTGGTATTATATTTTAATTATGAGTTTATATTTAATGTACCTCGTACACTCTATCAGTGAATGAGAGATCACCACCTCATTAATGAGTAAATTTTAAATTTTAATAATCCTTAATTGTGAATAAATATAATTTTTTGTAACTTTTTATTTTCTTTCTGCCATTGTTTTAAGTTTTTGACACAAGAGTGAAAAAAATCAACTAAGGCTTTGTTTGGAAAGCATGAAAATGTTTCCCAAAAAAGTTTTGTCAACATTTTTTCTTGTTTGGAATGTGGAAAATGTGGAATTGAGTGTAAAATATTTTCAAATCAACGAGATTAATCCCGTTGACTGAAGCAAATTGTACCCTTGCAGGGTGTAAAACAATTTCCCAAAACTAGAAAATATTAGCTCACCTTCCCTTCCCTCAGCTCTCCTTACCTTGACTTTTGCCCTATCCCTAGTTAACCCCACCACTCAACTCCAGTAACCCATGAATGGCGACCAATAATAGTAACTTCAGCTACCTCTATAGCATTTTCCATCCTCAAACTCCAAGATCTTTTTCACTTTTTTTTATTTCCTTATTTAAATCAATTCAAGCCCAACTCAAACCTCTATTTTTCCCTTATGATGGTCAGCAGTTATGGATTTAAGATTTTGTATGAAAGGTGGCTATACCACTATTCCAAAACAGGTTGCTTGATTTGATTAAAGGTGATGAAACTATATCTCAAATTATATATATATATATATAATTAAAATTAAAAACTGAGGGGTGGCGACTGCCACCTTGCCACCACCTTTGATCCGTCATAATCTTGTAGTCATTAATTTCCAAAAACTATCTTTATAATGACTCATTATTTGATGTTGTTTTATAGGATTAATATTCCATACCTAACTCAATAGGGTATTCCTATACTCAAAGCAAGACAATTGAACTTTTGGATGATATAGGTGGAGTATTATTTACTTTTTTTTCCCTAAACTTTGACATTTTGCTTTCAACTGAATCCACCTTAAAACTTTGGTTTGCATCAAGTTGTATAGAATTTGTTGTATGTTAGCTAGATTGTAAATATTTTTTACCTTGTATATAAAATCTAAATCTCAAACCTACTCTTCCATACATTTTCTCGTTGCAATACAGAAATTGGCTACTAATGGAACTTTCCTAAGATTGTTATAAATTATTCTTTAAAACTTATTCATCAATAAACTCTAGCTTTGACATTATTTGACTAGTGGTTGGTATGCTTTATGTTGCTTGAAGGTCTTTTTGGTTCTCTTATTGCTACTATTACATTTGTGTAATCATTACTTTTCAAAGAAAAGTCGTTTATATGGCATAGTTAATGACAGTAAAAACTACATAGTTCATAAGTAGTACCAAATATTAGATCCCTGTTTTTGCTATCTCATTCAAATGTTGGATGGATAAATTTACACACATTATTTTGTTTTTCATAATGTTTGTCACAATAAAATGAATTAGATGCTAATATTGTTACTGATTAGAAGTAAAATAACAAATTCTGATAGACAACGGGGCCTAAATAACAATTACAGGCTAATGTTTAAATGGTATAGATGATAATTCATCAAGTGAGTTTTATATTTTAAGATCTAATGAACATTGCTACATTTCAGCTCATCCTTCGTTTTACACTTCAGCATATGTTGGAGACAAAGGGATTAGGTGAAATGTGTTGAGTTTTAAGTTGACTAGAATTCTAATTTTTATTTGACTAGGATTCTTGTTTGCGTACAATATTGAGTAGTTATATGGTTTTAAACTTCTTGTTCCACATTGAGTTCTAATTTCATTCTACTTTGAACTTTTATATGATATAAGTGGATCTCTAGGATTTAAAAAGGTGAGGAATGCTTTGAGAGCTCTAGATAGGGAACATCTTATAAATCTATCTTTTGCTTTAGGTAGAGCTAGAATGGTTTAGGTGAGTGTTCTTAAGAGATTATTGAGAGAGGGTGTGTAAGGGATCTTGGGTTAGTTTAAAGAACCATAAAGGTTAATTTATTATACTTTAATTTCTTAATAGTAAAAGAACGGTTTCACTTCATAGACGTAGGCAAGAGACCGAACCACGTAAATTCTTATATTTATCTATTTGCTTGATTTCTTTGAGTTTTATCTTCGTTGTTTCTTGGGTAATTTTTATAACAAATTGATATCAGAGGTTTGGGTTCGATAAATTATAGATTAACAATGATGTCGAAAGTTAATAGTTATTCAAAATTTTTAATTGAGAAGTTTGATAGAAAATCTAGTTTCACGTAGTAGTAGAGAAGAATGAAAGATCTCCTTATACAGCAAGATTTAATGTGACTTTTGCTAGAGAAGGAAAAAGGGCAACTAGATGGTATAGAGGATGTTGAATTAATAGAGGTAAAGAAAAAGTGTGTGAGCACTACTCAGCTTTGCATCGAGAATAATGTGTTTAATCATATTATTGATAAGGATTCTACTGCAAGGTTATAGGCAAAGTTGAAGAAGATTTATTCGGTTAAAAGTTTTTCCAATAAGTTGCAGCTTAGGTGAAAGTTGTATCACTTAAGAATGGAGGAGAATGGAAACCTCATGAAGCATATGAACAAATTCAACAGGATCATTGATCAATTGAAGGAGGTTGATGTGAAGGTAGTGGAACAAGAAAAGACATTATTGTTTCTTGCATCTTTTTAAATTATGGAATTTCTTATTTGATGAAAGAATATAATAATGTTAGATCAATCACAATCAACGTTAATGTCTCATGAAAGAAGTAGAGATTCAATTGACTTGGCATTAGTGGTCTAGGGTTGGAAGAGTAAGTCAATGGGGCATGGGATCTAAGAGTTGCAAGTTTAGATCTAGTGGTGTTCAATGCTTTCGATGCAAAAGGTATAGACATATTTAGAGAGATTGTCCTACAAGAAGAGATGAAAGTAACGAAAAAAAGGTGAGTGTGTTTCATTATTGACTATGATGATTATGCAATCCCAGCAAATGTATGCAAATTTTGGTTGGTATCTAGATTCTGCTTGTATCACCCATGTATGCTATCAAAAAGATTATTTTGATTTGCTTCAAGAAGTGACGATTAGGAATTTAACTTTAAATGATAAGTCAATGGTGAAGGTCATAGGTTTTAAAGCAGTGAGAATCAAAATATTTGATGGGGTTGTGAGTTCGTTGGGTGGTGTAGCCTATGTCTTAAATATGCGTAAGAATCTAATATCATTACTTTGAAGGGTATAGATATTCTGTCAATGATGGAGTGGTAAAAGTCACACAAGGCAACATGATCCTGATGAAAGGGAATTTGCATAATGGTTTGTATCGTCTAGAACATGAAGCCATGAAGGGATGGGAATAGTGCATAGGAGATGGTAGCTACCAAAGTGAGATTTCATTTATCAAGGTGTTGATGAAAGGTTCCCATGGTGCAGACGATGATAAAAGAACAAAAAATCTTGCCAACAGTGAATTAGGAAGGTCGTCAAGTGCATTTTCTAAAGTCAATTAATGCCATTGACTTGATGACTACACAGTGCATTGGCCATTTTGAGAGATAGCGTATTGGACCATGCTTAATTTAGTATGTGTAGTTGTGGTAGTTTAGAAGGCCAATGATTTGGAAAGTCTTGTGCTTGGAGAGTTGTTTGAGGTGTTGCAAAGTAGGTGGAGTTTGAGAGTTGCAATTGGGTGCAACTAGTGGAAAAGGTTTAAGAAGATTAAATTTAAGTCTAAGATGGAGATTTGTTGAGTTTTAGGTTAATTAGAATTCTAATTCTTTTTTGGCTAGGATTCTTGTTTGTGTACAACATAAAATAATTGTAGGATTTTAAACTTCTTGTTCCTCATTGAATTCTAATTCCATTCTACTTTAGGCTTTTATATTAAAAATGTGAATTTCTAGACTTTAGAAGACTAAGTAGTGCTTTGGGAGCTCTCAAGAAGGAATACCTTATAACTTTGTCTTTTGCTTTAGGTGGAGCTAGAGTAGTTTGGGTGAGTGTTCTTAGGAGGTTATTGAGAGTGGGTGTGCAAGAGATCTTGGGTTGGTTTGAGGAACTATAAGATTAATTAATTGTACTTTAATTTCTCAATAATAGAAAAACAGTTGCACTCCGTAAATATAAGCAAAAAGCTTAACCAAATAATTTTTTGTGTTTTTTTGTTTGCTTGATTTCTCTGAGTTTTATCTTTGTTGTTTCTTGAACGATTTTTATAACAGAAGGCTCAAATTAA